AGGCACGGCCATACGGAGTTCGCGCGAACGGTTGCGAACGGTTGCGACCACAAACGCAACGTCGAGCGAACACACCCTCACCCCCCAGACCCCCAGAGTGAAACGGGAACCCTTGCTACGCATTCGGGAATAAACAAAAAAGAGGACCAAACAGAGCTGGAAGAGAGAGATGAAAAAGGGCAGTGGGGAGAGGATCCAGTGTAATTATAGTGTGTATCACGTAACTCACGTATGAAAGGCCCCATTTTGTGCCCATGACAGGGCCCTGTCAACTAGAATCTGAGATGTTTTTCTGTCTTCTCTTCCCTTTGACCCTTTACATTGTCTTTTTTATTTGTTGTTCCTCCTTTCCATGTCCTTTTTCCGTTTCCTCCTGCCGCTCCTTTTCTCCCTTCTTGTTTCCCTGCTGTGCTATCGTTTCTCCGGTTTGCCTTGTTACATTCCAGTCTCTGTCTCTTCTCTCTTCTTCTTATCCTTATTTGTTTCGTTTCCTTTTTCTATTCCTTTGTTCCTTTCTTTTTTGGGTCTCTTTTCCCAAGGTTTATAGCGCCCTTTAACAGTGCCAAAATGCAGCTTCGTATCCGTTGATTGTTTCCTTTTCCTTGTCATTTGTTTGTTTGCTTCTCCACTTCCATTGTCAGTTTGGGGCCTTCCTTGTTCTTTTTCTTCTTATTTGCCTTCACCTCTTTTTGTTCCTTGCTTCTCCGGTTTCGTAGCGCTATCCCTTTTACTCTTTCACTATTTTTTGCACTTCAAGTTTCTCTTTCTCACTCTCTTCCTTGTCAATTTCGTTTCAATTTTCTTCTCCCCTTCTGCTTCCTTTTCTAGTTCCTTTTCCAAGAGTTCTTTTGGCAGCCCCTTTTCCAAGATTGAGTGGGGACCGTTCCTGCACTAAAGCTTCTTTGCTTTAGCAATCTCATTTTCGTTTTCTTATTCCAATTTCACGTCGTTTGTATCTAACCCTTACTCGGTTTTTCATTACAGTATTTATCCTGTTTGTCTTTTTTCCTTTGCATGTGACTTTTTCCTTGTTTTTTTTTAACTTTTCGTAACACTTTCCTTTTTGCTATTTCACTGTTTTTTTCTATTTCAAATGCACCTTCTTCCTTTGTCTTTATTGTAATGTTCCTTCTCCCCTCTTCCTTCTCTTGGAAAGGAAATGCAGCCAGGATGAGGAAGCAGAACCGGAAAGACCGGGCATAGTGGGGCAAAAGAAGAAACAAGACCAGTGAAGAGGAGAGAGTACAAAGGAAGCAGACAAGGAAGAAACACATGCAAAACGCCGAAGCAGATTGGAAGAGAAATTTTACCAGGAACAGGGAGAGGAGAAACGAAAAAGGAAAAGGAAGAGTTTGGAATTGGGAAGAGAAAGAAGAGTGAGAAGAAGAAAACAGGGAAAGGTTAGACGAGAAAACAAAAGCAGAAAGAAATTGTAAAGAACAAAACATTGTTTTAACAGGGAAGAGGAAGTAGAAGCGGAAACTAGACTCTACTGAATAGCGGGAAGATGGCCGAGAGCATAGAAAGAAAAGGGAAAGCCAAGAACTCAAAACAGAAACAAACATACTGAGAAAATGGTAGTCCCAGTCTGGTCTAGTGGAGTGTAGTTTGGTCAAATTATTTTAATGTGAGTTACTTTAAAGTAGTTTAGTCTGCAGTAGGTTAGTCTATTTTCATCTGATTCGGTCTAGTTTAGTTTAGTTTAATTTGGATTAATCTAGTGTAAGTTTAGTCTATTTCACTGTACTATTTCGCGTAGTTTCATCTATATAGTTTAGCCTACTTTAGAATAGTTGAATTTAGTTTAATTGAATTTAAACATGACGAACATAAACTAAACTAAATTAGACTAGAGTGGACTCATAGACTAAATTTGATTAAAATGCACTAAAGTAGACTGAAGTAGGCCAAAAGTAGGCAAAACTAGACTAAATTAGATTAAATTAAATTAAACTAGACTAAACCAGACTATTAAACTAGACTATTAAACTAGACTATTAAACTAGACTAAATTAGATTAAACTAGACTAGATTCGCTAAACCAGACTACTGTAAATGATTCCACCGTAGACTAAAAGCAGGCTAAAGTAAATCACACAAGACTAAAGTAGACTAAACAAGATGAAAGCACATGAAAATAGATTAAACTAGCCTAGTATAGTTCCAAGTAGATTGGTTTAAACTAAGCTAGACTAGACTGAAATAAACTAAACTAAACAAAACAATACTAAACTAGATTGCAAGACAAGACTAAACTAGACTAAACTACAGTAAAGTATACTAAAATTGATTAAGAAAGACTGAAGGAGACTGAAGTAGAAGAAAGTAAGCTAAATTAGACTAAACTGGATAAAGCTAGACTAAATTGGATTAAGCTAGACTAAAACTAGACAAAACTACACTAAGCTACACCAAAGTAGACTAAACACAACAATTTTCGATAAAACTAGATTGAACTAGGCTAAATTAGATTATTAAACTAGGCTAAACTAGGTGAAATTACCTTAAACTAGACTAAATTAGACTAAGCTAGACTTAACTACACTAAGCTAGATTAAACTAAATTAGAGTGAAATAAATGAAACTAGATCAAGCTAAACTAAACACGATTGAACTAAACTGAAATATTCTGAAGTAGACTAAAGTAGATTCAAGTAGACTAAAATAGACTAAGTTAAGCTAAACTAGATCGAAGAAAACTACGTACAGTAAACTAAAATGGAAAAATTGGACTAAACTAGTCTAAAGTAGATTAAGTTTAACTAAACTAGACAAAACAAGATTAAATTAGATTAAATTTGAATAAAATTACATTAAACTAGACAAAACTAGGCTAAGCTGGGCTAAACGAGACTAAACTACACTGAATTCGATAAAGCTGGACTAAGGTAGATTAAATTAAACTAAACTACATTCTATTAGATTTAGATTAGATGAAATCAAGCTAAACTTGACTAAGTTCGGTTCAGCTGAACTAAGTTGGATTGATTTTGGACGAACTTAGATTATACATTTAGGATAACAAAGATTAAGTTAGATAATAATTGGATTATATTAGAGTAAATTAGATTAAACTAGGTTAAACTAGATTCAATTAGGCAAAACAAATTCAACTGGGCTAAAACTACACTAAACTAAATTAAATTAGACTAAACAAGACTAAACCAGACTAAAATCGACTAAGCTAGACCAGATTAAATTCTATTATGTAAACTAGATAGACTAGAGTAAACAATGCGCTAAAGTAGACTAAAGTAGATTAAATTGGACCAAACTAGACTAAACTAGACCAAACTAGATTAGATTAAAATGGACTAAACTAGACTAGACCAGATTAAACTAGACTAAGCAAAACCACCTGCATCTAAATCTACACCTGGACTAAGTTCAACTAAGCTGAATTAAATAAAACAAAACTAACCCAAACTAGAATCAACTAGGCTAAACTACACTAAAGCAGACTAACGTAGTCTAGTTTAGACTAAACTATGCTCAACTGGACTAACCTAACTTTGGCTAAACTAGACTAAACGAAATTAGACTAGACCAGACTGAACTGGGCAAAGCTGGACTAAACTAGGCTAAGCTTGGCTAGACCAGACTAAACAGAATTTACCCACGCCAACTTGAACTAAATAAGACTAAGCAACACTAAACTAGACTGAATTAGACAAGGTATATTAAAAAAGGCTAAATAAAGTAGACTAAACCAGACCATCCTAGATTAAATTGAACTAAACTATATGAGAGTAAAGTAGGCCAAATTAGACTCAACTAGTTTAGTTAAGTTTAGTCCACTTTAGTCTTTTTTGAGTCTACTTTCGTGTAGTTGAGTCTAGTTTGTTACTATAATTTAATCCATTTTAGCACAGTTTAATCCAATTTGGTCCAGTTCATATAATCTAATTGAATCTAGTTTGACTGAGTTTAATGTACTTTAGTTCTCTTTACTCCACTTTGGCCAAATTTTGTGCAATCTACTATGTTTTAATCTAGTTTCGTCATGATGTGTAGTCTAATTTCATTTAGTCAAGTTTTGTCTAGTTGAGCCTAATTTAGCCTAGTTTAGCTTAGCTTAATCTAGTTTACCTTAATTTAGTGTCACGTAGTGTTTGATTTTCATAAGCATCAACATTTAGATATAACATTAATTATATAGCTAGTCTAGTTTAACCAAAAACAAGCTCAGTCCAGCTTAATCCAGTTTCCTCAGTTTCAGTCTAGTTTAGCCAATCTTTGTCTACGTTGGTCTACTTTAGTCTACTTTAGTCTAGTTTAGCCTACGGTAGTCTACTTTAGCCTATTTTAGTGTAGTTTAGCCCACTTTAGCCTACTTCAATCTACTTTAGGCTACTTTAGTCTACTGTAGTCTACTTTAGTGTAATTTAGCTTGGGTTAGTCAAGTTGAGTCTAGTAGAGTCTAGTTTAATCCAGTTTAGTTTAGTTTAGTCCAGTAGTCTAGTTTTAGTCTAGTTTAGTCGACTCTAGTGGACACAAAAAAAAATGAACAAGTTAAACGACCAAAGGAGAAGAAAAACAATAGCATTACATGCTTGTATGCATAGGAACGAAATAGACCCCAAAGGTCCCTGCCACATATATATATATATATAACTATATATATATATAACTATATATATATAACTATATATATATAACTATATATATATAACTATATATATAACTATATATATTTAACTATATATATAACTATATATATATAACTATATATATATATAACTATATATATATATAACTATATACATATAACTATATATATATAACTATATATATATAACTATATATATAACTATATATATAACTATATATATATAACTATATATATAACTATATATATATAACTATATATATATAACTATATATATATATAACTATATATATAACTAAATATATATATAACTATATATATATATACAGTCACTGGGGTTTACATGAGTTTCACCAACGAAAATTCAAGGGGGGGCAGCAACTCTTACTTCTTAAGCCCAGGTGCCGGCTTCCAGGTCGATGATCCATCGCTCTTCCGCCGGCCAAAAGCGGATCACGTGGTCGTTCTCCACCTGGGTGGTGGACAATCCCAGAAGGTTCCATGGTGAAAACCGGTAAAAAGATGAGGAAATCTGGGGAAAATATATGGGAAATCATCAATCACTACTACTTGATGAAAATTCTGGCGTGTTTTCGTCACATTTCATGACTAGATCCAGAGGATTCAGAAGGATCATAAGATCTTCAAGGACTTCCAGGCGTTGGTTTCCATTCTGTGCATGAAAATCAGCTCATGCAGCGGCCCCGGCCCATTGACCGGGCCTTTTTGTACGAAGGTTTCCCCTCCACAATTTTAACGAGTTCATAGTCGCCTCACGGTGACGCACCAAGGACGGCTGACGCTGGAACTCTTGAGCAAAAAACATACTGAAAAAATATAGGTCTGTCTGAAATGTCTGAAAATAGGGGATATCGTGAAATGGCGACTTTAACCGAGAAAATGACGGCCCTTCACGATACCATGAAATTTGGGGGTACCCTATGTTTGGACACACCATGTCCTATCATATATCGCAGGGTCTTTTCTTTTTCTTGTTTCTCAGATCAAATTTCAGAATGGTTACAGCCTCAGACTTAAAACCACATCTTCCACACTCCAAGCACAGAACATCGAAGATCGAACATAACATCTTGAACATCTTCGTCACATTGTCATCCTTTTGGTGTCGGAAATTGCTCCAAAACTCGCCACAAACGCACAAAACAAACGCTCCAAGAGTCCGTTGATCGTGGAGTTTTCCTTGTAAGGATCTCTGCCCGATATCCGCACGGAATGCGGCGCAACAAACCTGGAAAATGATGCGGCATCAGCAGGCCGGGCTGGTGGAGCTGTACTTTTTAACTGGGAGAGACAAAGTACCCTCTGGTGAACTAACATAGCTATTGGAAATCACCATTTTTAATGGGAAAATCAACTATAAATGACCATTTTCAATAGGAACAAAATAATTAAGAGGACTGACCCAAAATTTTCCTGGATCGAAAACCAGCACTGGACAGACTATTTAAAGCATATGCATGGCAAGGCCAGAGATGTATAGCTGCAAATTGCAGATCGAGTGCGCTTTGCACACATGTTGGGCTCATACTACATGATAGCACGTTGTAGCACTGGCCTTGACAGGCTATGTGCAGGATCTTGGAACAAACAATTCTCCAATTTGTGTATTTCACAGCATGTCGGAATCATGTAAACAAACCAAAAGACCTTCTCATTTCTGGCCTATGTGCAAAGTACTTGCATGATATTTGCATCACATCTGCAGCATTTTGGATTCTATACCTCAACTTTGCATGTTATTCAGCTTGAAAAGGTGAGATGTCGCGGCTCAGTTGCTATGTTGCTGGTGCTGTTGCTGGTATTGTTGCTGCTGGTAGCAGTTTTGCTGTTGAGATTGAAACCTGAAACCTTTGAGGTGCATGGTATGGTAATCTCAGCTGCAGGGCATTCACACATGGTCACTGCTCATGTGTTGTAATTTCTGGCCTTCTCATTTGCATGGTATTTATTTGCATGGTATCTGCGTAGGAAACCGAGGGGACCCGCCACTGAAGGTCACGGGAACAACAACAAAAAATATTCCAGCAATTCATACTCTTTAATAATTCACAGTATATAAAATAATTCATAGTAATTCATTAACAGTAATTCATAGTAATTCTAAATTTCAACATATTTCTACTAAGAGATCTCAATTTTTTCTCCAGTAAGTATACCGTATATACCTGTGTTATACAGCATCATCCCCTTTGTGTGCTTCAGGAATTCCTGCACCCGTTGACTCCGAAGTGAAGTGTTAGGATGGCAAGCTATTCCCATGTTTGTCGCCACGTCGCTATCATGTTGCTATCAACTGCAAAGGCAGAAACTGAACTCCGCAATCTGCGTTCTCCCTCTCCCAGCATTTTTGGAGGGTTTGCCAATGCTATCGCAACAGAACATCCAATGGTCAACACACCTCTGTTGGGATGAGAAGCTGCTAAATTCCTGTCCAAATTGGATGTCCCAATAATTCGATGGCGAATCCATGTGACCAAAATCCATGGTCCCTTGGTCTTATTTGTGTACCATGATGATAATCCCTGGGTCGAAAGCCCAGCTACGAGCGAACAGCTGGGTCAGTGAGATGTCTCCCTCGACTTGTTTCCCAGACGTGCCATACCTTGGAAAACTCTATTTGAAAAAAAGGTCCGGATCTGACAGGAATTGTAGCTGGTTGGTGGGCCCCTGGTGATCGTAAGTCCGCGATTCCTAGACTTATCCCCATTTACAAATAGAACCCGCGCAAGGCGGGTGGCGGAAGTTTCCAGGTTTAAGACGTGTAACGCTATAGGGTCCAAAAGCAAGGTTTGCCTATAGGGCTGCGGCAGACTTCCATGCTCTTTTCTGGGACTTCTGGCCTCTTTTGTGTGGCCGTAGCAAGGGCTTGAATAACCGACACAGGAGTATCTTGAGAACAACCTTCGGGCAGATAAGGACTGCGAAATTCTGAAGGCGCACAAATCCTGACTCCAGTTCGCTCCACTTTGGGGAGTTTTTCTTGTGCGATTTTGGTACTCTTGTGAATTCAAGGGTATCTTTTTTGGCTGACCTGAAAAAACGCAACATGTTCAGTTTGCGGCCCATTTTTACCTCGGGTAGTGCTGAAAACGGGCGTGAAGAAGAGCAGGGTAATCTCTGGCATTTCCGAATGGGTGCAGAATAGTTTTTTGATTTTTTTGCTCAGGTTTTGGAATTTTTGTTGCCTTTCTTTCCTGGTACCATCTTCCTTGTGCTTGCAACAGTTTGGAACTAGAATCTGTCATTTTGCATGGTATTTGCTACATTTTGGCATGGTCACTTTGCATTTTGCATTGTATTTGCTACATTTGGCCATGTTCACCTTCCAGTTGCCATGCTTTGGCACTTCAACCTCTCATTTGCATGGTATTGCTACATTTTGGTACTTCAAACGTTCATGTGGGTTTCTTGAGAGTTTCTTTAGGGTTTCATTTAGGGTTTCTTTAGGGTTTCATTTAGGGTTTCATGTAGGGTTTCATTTTGGGTTTTTTCAGTGTTTCTTTAGAATTTCATTTAGGGTTTCTTTAAGGTTTCATTTCGGGTTTCATTTAAGGTTTATTTCGGTTTAGGGTTTCTTTAGAGATTCATTTAGGGTTTCTTATCTGGATTTCTTATCAGGGTTTTCAAGCGTTCATCTGGGTTTCTTTAAGGTTTCTTTAGGGTTTCATTCAGGGTTTCTTTAGGGGTTCATTTAGGGTTTCTTTAGGGTTTCATTTAGGGTTTCATTGAGGTTTTCGTTTAGGGTTTCTTAAGGTTTAGGGTTTCTTTAAGCTTCGTTTAGGGTTTCTTTGGGGTGTCATTTAGGGTTTTTTAGAGTGTCGTTTAGGGTTTCTTTAGGATGCCATTTAGGGTTTCATCTAGGGTTTCATTCATGGTTTCTTCAGGGTCAAGTAATGGTTTTTTTAGGGTTCATGTAGGGTTTTATGTAGGGTTTCTTATCAGGAGTTCTTATCAGGATTTCCTAGAACTCTTTCAGGTTTCTTTGGGTTTCACCTAGGGTGTTTACAAACAGGAGAGAATAAAGCAAAAGAAAAAAACAAAGAGGCAGCAAAGACAGGAAGCAGAGAAGCAGAGGAGCAGGAAGTAGAGCAGCAAAAACACATGACTGAAGAAAAGAATACTGTAAGTAGGATAGTAGAAGTAGAAAGGCACAGAAGCACAAAAGCAGAAAAGCGGAGAAGCAGAAAAGAAAGAAGCAGGTAAAGCACAAAAGCGAAGCAGGGAAAGCAAAGAAGCAGAAAAGAAAAGAAGCAGGTAAAGCAGAGAAGCAGACAAGCAGAGAAGCAGAGAAGCAGAGAAGCAGAAAAGCAGAGAAGCAGAAAAGCAGAGAAGCAGAAAGGCAGAGAAGCAGGAAAGCACAGAACCAGGAACCCAAAAATAATTCCAAAACCTGCCGCAAAAAAATACCAAAAATAATTAGCCATCCTTTCCGAATCATAAAGCGGTCAATGGGGCGGGGTCGTCAAAGATTTCCAAAGCAAGGACAGTTCATCCATTTCTTTACACGTCCAGAGTTCAGTGGCATTTCCTTCCACGGCTTGCCCGTTTCGGAGTTGTTGTTTGATTTTGGGGAAGGGAATTAACTTGGGCCTGGGGTCCTGGTCCCAGTCTTCCAGACGCAGGGAGGTGATCCAAGTGCTGTTCCTTTCGAGCAGGCTCTTCGCCAGGGGGGGGTCAGCAGGTTTGCGCGCATCCGCGTTGGCAGGTTTACGGGGCGCGGTCGCTTTAGAACCCCCTGATCATCATGAACCCAAGTCCACCATCTATTTTGATCAATACGATAAGGGTATCCTTTCCAGTACTTGATCTCGCTGTTCAGGGGTGGTTTTAGCCGTTTTTTTTTCTTTTTTTTTGGAAGGTTCCGGAACCATATGCTGAGGGAAACCAAGCACGGAATACAGGGAATTGCCCTGGTTAAGACGCCATTGTTGGTTTGCATGCGCTGTTTGGCCCTGCTTGGCAGCAGCACCAGCCGCCCCACCTTGAACGGGGAGATTTTGATCCACTGAATTTTCTGACTGGTGAACCTATCATCAGGCCGCGCCTGGTCAAAATTGTTAGGATTGTCAGCATTGTTGATTTCATTCTTTCGCTGTTGTCGCACAATGAAATGTTGGAACCTATCCTTGCGCGCATGAAGTCGGCGTTGGTGAGACAAAACACTTCGCTTGTTGCGTGTGAACAGGCGCGCGTGTTTTTTGCATATTCTAGCTACATATCTTCATTTCCTGGGTCCAAGGGGGGTGCGGGATACCTTGGTCCTGGGGAAGCTTTTTTTAATTACGCGAATGCCCCTACGTGCGGACACCCAAGTTGCAACATAGTGAAACAAGCCGTGAGATACATACCCCAAAGGCTCCAAAAAAAAATCCCCGGGGGGTCATCAAGACAGGCCCAGACCAATCAGCCATGTCCTCCAAATATCCCCATCTCTCGGTCGTGTTCGCCATGGCATCCATGGCTGAGCAGTTGGGAGCCCGTTCTGGGCTAAGGTCGCAGGGTGATGTCTTGTCCAAACATTCACCGAGCGAGCGACGATCGAGACCGAATGACACAGACGGAGACAAACACGGCAGCAACGCAGCCAGCCAGCATCTTGTGCCTTGACCGCAAGTCCGGTCGCAGTGGCCATGCTCTTTGGCCACTGTGGCCCGTCCCATCTGTTCTTTTGTCATGTTTGACTGTGTTGTATTTGTTTCCCATGGTCGCAGTGACCTCGCTCTTTGGCCATTCTGGCTTGCATTCTTTTACTTACCCTTTCGCACGCAGCTCCCAGCTGCGCCCGCCAGAACCACGTGGAGGTAGAGCTTTGCTGGCTGACTTCATGATCTCTTAAGGCACATGCCAACTGGACACAATGATCTCTGGGCTAGTGAGAATGTGACTTCATGATCTCTTGAAGCACCTGCCAACTGGACACAATGATCTCTGGACTTCATGATCTCTTAAGGCACATGCCAACTGGACACAATGATCTCTGGGCTAATGATAATGTTCACTTTCCGTAACTCGGAGTTTCCTCTACGAAACTTCCTTTGATAACTGGGCTATAACCCACTACTGTAACCAGTTGGTTAAGTGGTATGATTCTCCAAGCAGTCATCCGCAATTCGAATGATTTTTGGAAATGTGCCCATAATCATAAGTTGCATGAGACAAGCTTTCACTTAAATGATTGATCTTATTTTGTGAGGTTTGATATGTTTGATTGGAATTGGGATGCTCACCAAAGTTGACCTTCCTTGTGACTGTGAGAATGAAATGGGAATACTAGCGAAGCCTAGCATTCAAGGTACGCCATGGTTCCCCAAACCAATCAGGGTCCGGTTGTTGTGGTTGTCTTCCGTTGAGCCAAGGATTGCATGCTGGATCTGGTACACCCACCATCTGAGTAAACTCTGCAACAAACCCAAAATGTAACTTTTAACTCACAATTTATGTGACATTGTTCTCACATGTTTCTCACATTTTTCTGCGCCAAACTCCGAGGTACAAGATTCAAATGGCCAGGATGCATATGAGCTCCAGTGCCTGGGGTCCGTCATACATGGAAAAAGGGTGAAGTTACCTATGAATTTACCAATGGGGGCAGCCATCCAATGCCATCCATTAACCATCTATCTCAGGGTAGGTTTTATCTATTCTATCTATCGGACGGGTACCTATGGGTACCTAGAATCCCAGGGTTTTCACGAAAATAGTCACATCTCTGAAGCATGAAGATCATGAAGAAGCATGAAGCATTCCAAAAAAAGACAAGATGCCACCCGCTTCCGCATACGCATTGCAAATCTCAGTATCTCGCCTCAGCGATTGAGGAAAGCAACCCCGGAAATGCGGATGGGTTCGAGGTCAGAAATGATCAGGATGCTTGAAATGGTTTCAATGCTGCAAATATACCAGCCACGAATCATCCTGAATCATCATGAATCCGGAATCGTGAGGTATCATGAGGAATCATCGTGATTTATCATGATTTTTCCTAAAGCTTTCCTCACGGTTCGATGGAAATTTGGCTATCCCGAAAATTTTGATGGTGAAATATTGCTAGTGTCAACTTAATTTGTGGTCTACTTGGAGAATCATCCCAGTGAATTAACTGGTTGGTAGCCCAGGTTAGCAAGTCCCCCATTAGGGCTGTCCCATTACTGGTTGGTTGATTGGGCTTCCCCGCTCATGGATTGCGATAATCCCCTGCAATCCAGAGATTCTAGTCTATGTTTGAATCTATTTTTCGTATCCTTAGCATCTATTGAGGTACCCAATTTTGACCCAAATCCCTTAATCTACCCTAGGGTAAACTAATGTAGATGTGGAAAACCTATGGCTTTCCCACGGTTTCCCGAGGAAAATCATCTAGAAATGCTTGATGTTCATTGATCTTCCACATATTTCTATGTCAAAACCCTCGAAAATCAAAAAAAAGGGCCATCTGGCCATCTGTCGCCCAGGTCCGAGGAACAGTCCGTCCAAGTCAATGAGCCAGCGCTCCTCGCGAGGCCAGTAGCGTATCGCATGACCACTGCCATCGTCCTGGACCCAATGATGGGGAGAAAAAAACGAAAAAGAAACGGTGGAACTCGATGATGTTGTTTTTTTCATGGTTATATTGTTATATCATGATGTCCTTCATCATCATATATCATGATAATTCATGATATATCATGATAACTGATAATAATTCATGATATATCTCATGATAATTCATGCTCATTTTCGTGATATCCTTCTACTGCTAGTGACTAGTGTAATCCTTTATTTTGTCGGTAGCTACTTCTTCCTGTGCCAGTGACCATGGTTGATTCATCCAAGTGTTGAACCGCATTGCGAAGTGGCCTTCATGTAAGCGGGCTGACCAGCGTGCAAGCCGACCTTGGGACACTAGAGAATTTGGCCATGCGCAGCTGTGATGACATCGGCTCTCCGCGTTGCCGAAGATATAGCACCGACGGCCAAATTTTCTCATGACACCAGTGACACTTTCTCGTGAGCTCAAGATGCTGAAGGAAGTGGGATACGCAAGCTTGTGCTTCATGGAGATGCGCGCGCACCCAAAATGAATCGTTTTTTGTGGAAGGCCATTGGATGCTCAATCTATGCCTTAGTTTTAGGGAGAGCTAAATTTTAAATATGACCCTCAGAGCCCGGAGTACATCGCCAGGCGGCCAAATGGTAGCTACCATTCCTCAATGCCACAAAGATGAAGGCTTTCAATTTCCCATGCTGGAGCCGTCAATCAATGCACCAAACTACCGACAAAATAAACGGATGTGTGAAATCTCCCAAAACTTGACGTTATGAAACTGTTGATTCGGGCATCTTCTGCCAAGGCAACTCACAAAACTCCTGTCATGTTGGAAACCTCTACTTGTCTTCAATCTACAGCACCTGTTGGTTTCAGACTGCACACTTTGCAATTCTGTCGCTGTCTTTACATATTCTTCATGACTTCGTACTTGGAGACGGTTGACATCAATGTAGCATCATGGTTTCTAAGCTGACCTTGTGGATGTACCCAAAACAGAATCGCGAATACGGAAAAGCGCATTTCCATCCGACCAAGCTCAGTCTATCAAGTCCATGCTCCCACTTGTTGAGCCAAGTTTCATGGCCATATTCTCTTTGGGAGACTCACGACCTCAGTGGTCCCAAGGTGTCAGGGGATCCAAGGGCCCAGAGAGGTTTTTTGGCTAGAGAAAATCCCACCAGTGAGGTTGGCATCGCCACCATCACCGCCATCGCCAGAATCATCGCCACAACATGCCACAACCATCATGACAATAAGGTCAATCAAAAAACTCTCAATTCGTCATCGTCATCGTCATCATCATCGTCGTCGTCTTCGTCTTTTTCTCCTTCAGTCCTGCTGCTGTTGATCTCGTTTTTCTGCTGTTCTGGTCAGTCGCACCATGCCCAGTGCAAAAGCTAAACACATTAAGAGCACAAAAGCAATCAAAGCTGAAGAACGCAAGTGAATCATGTTCATGAATCACATATAATCATATATATATATATAATTATATAATTATATAATTCTACAAATATATAATTATATAATTATATGATTATAAAAATATATAATTATATAATTATATGATTATATAATTATATAATTATATATATATATTCATATATTGCATCCATGAATTGAAGTGCCAGCTCTGTCCAGGTCCTTTCAGGTCCTGGGTTTCCAGACCTACCACCTCAATGCACGAAGGTGTCACCAAGGTGCAGAGGCTGCTATCAAGGACGTGCCGCTGCCTGCAGTGGGCAATGCGACAACGGAGCTGCGCCGTTCGGTGGACCCGGTGGGACCCGGTGGAGCGGATCCGGCCTGGTGGAGTCCCAGATGTGCCACGAGAGTCGAATTTCACCTGCCGATTTCGGATGAGTTCGGCAGTGGCACAATTTCGGCGGAGTCGATGTCTCTGGAAATTTGGGAGGTGGAAAATTTCTGAAAGTCAGGTTATTTCATGAAATTTCATGATGCAAAACAATAAAACTGGCGGCAAAGAAAGGCGAACATCGGGCCCGGCCCCTTTTTGACTTTCCTCGGCACCTGGATAACTGGTACTTTGGGCATCTGCATAGGCGTTGCAAATGTCAACGTCTCGCAGACCTTCAAGATCTATCAGCCACCTCCCAGGATTCCATGGCTCCGGAAATTGGGGGAACACACATGAAGCACACAGCAGTCCAGCCCTTGGTGCTCGCCTGTCACCAACTCTCCAATATCCTCGGGCAGATTTCTGAAAGGAGGCAGGGGTCGGTGTCTCCGGGACAACCTCCAACAGCCCAACAGCTTATTGACACTTGCCAGGACTACCTTTGAAGCCAACAAAATATAGGTTTTCATGAGAAACCTCACCAAAATGTCACACAGCCCAACACAGTTCCAACTCGTGCAATCCAGCTGCTGATGGCATGCCTCGGCAGAACGCTGGAAAATCGAGATTGGAGAAATAGGAGATTTCTCGAGGTGTGGAATGAGGATAGAAAAAGGCCCCCTTTTTTTCAAACACGAAAATCCAAAACAGTCACTTCTGAGGTACTGGAAAGTTGGCACAGATGAAGCACATTCTGAAAATGTTCTGGAAGTGAGCCCACAGAGAAGGTTAGATCTGAGGTGACTGGATGTCCTGCATAAGAAAACAGTTGTATCAAGCTGTATCTTCTTTTCGAATAAACTGTTTTCGGGCCAAGATTTGATAACCAAGGCACTTGAACTTGCCTGCCTTCTGATATGCGACCTTTCCTTGATGCAAGCCGATGAGTTTGTACCTCAGACCCGGGGGATGGAGCCAAAGTGGCCAAAGGTCCATCTACCCCGACACAATGGGTGGGGCAAGCCATTTCTGGCCGAAACCTGTAGCTTTCCACGAGGGGGCAAAAGGTCGCCCTGAAGACTGGTCCAAGCCTGTTAGGAACATGCTTAGGGTCGACGTGATATCTGGGTCACTTTTTTGCACCAAGCTTGAGCACTTCATCTACCGCAAAGGCGGAAGCCAAAAAGAAAACGTAAACGAGGGACTGAGCGATTTTCCCAGCTACAAACCTCCATAGTTCAGGGATTTTCCAGCCCGCCAAGTTTGAGGACACCAGGGGGTACCCCCCACCCGTGCCATAAACTTTACCAAGCTACTCACCGTTCAAGGCCCAGTTCTCCTTGCCAGAAGCTCGGCCTAAGACCTGGATGGTCCCCGGAGCAGCCGTCACAAGGAACCTGGAGTGGAGCGCTGAGAATCTTGGGAAACCCGAAAATCCGCTTGGCTCATCATCTTAAAATCCCATAGAAACCCATTGAAGATGGCTATACAGCTTTTATGGGAGTATACCATGGTATACCGGTATACCCCATGGTCAGGAGAAGTTTAACCTTGAGCCTCGAGCAAGAGGTTTTTTCAAAGTTTTTTGCCCGAGATTGAAATTGATACCTTGGAGGTAGATTCTCTGAAATAAAGAGACACTGATTTATCTGATTTCTTGGAACAACCATGCCAAGAATGCAATGCACTGGCAATCTGGTTCCGCAATTCCCTTCCTGGCAAAGGCTTCGGTCTCAATGCTGTATGCCAATTGATTTCGAATGGGTGAATGGATTCAAATCCATCCGTAGTCAAAAGAACATTGTCGCTCAGTTGGCCCTTTAGACTCTTTCTGAAATATGTTTATTTATTTTCACTATGCTCTCAGAAAAAAAGAGGACCTTTTTCACCAGAAAAAATAAACTCAGGTGCTATCCCCAACAGCTTGAAAGCTTCTGCGGTTTTGCCATAAAAAGTGCTTATGCCATAAAAATTAAGCGCTTAGGACTTATGACATTAAAATTAAGTGCTTATGCCATAAAAAAAAAACATCGGAACCCTTTGGAATTTCACAAAGCATCTGCACCAGAACCCTCCGGAACCTTGTCCGGAACCTGGTGTTGAAGCTGCACCGGATCGCACCAGAGCTAATCTGGGCTAAAGATCCCATAGCAAAGTTTTGCTGTTGGGGAAACAACACATTACTCTCTGGTTATTTAACATAGCCATGGAAAATCCCCATTTTTAATAATAGGTAAACCATCTATAAATGGGCCATTTTCCATAGCTATGTTAGTTTACCAGAGGGTAGATCCTCCAAACCTAAACAAATGCCACGGCATTTGTAGACGCTAAGCAACTCGGGGTCTCGAATGTGCTGCCGATGCTGCGACTCCCACACCCGCCACCTTGGCGGGGAAGAGATGGCCATTTTCCCATCTTTTCCCAATCTGACTTGGCGAAAAAATATGGTTCAAAAATGCTTCAAAGATAACATCAAGGTGTAGAAAAACTGATGAAAAACTGATGAAAAGATTAGAATTCCCAATTTTCGACAGCTCGAGATGAGCAATTTTCAACATTCCCCTCTGCTCTCGAGGATGATCCAATGGGATGCCGGACACGAGCTCTTCCACTGCGGGATGTCGTGCACCGCCCTGCTCGGCGTAAGCATTGCAAACGTCCGACTCCTGGCAAGCTGGGCCCAGTGGGGGAAAAAGAAACGGGCCCCGGTAGATTGCCCCTGTCATTCCTGTCATTTTGCAACATTTAGTCCGGTTTGAGCCATTTTCTGACAGTTTACGAGCATTTTATGAACATCTTGGTCGCCAATCCGTATAATTAGACCATGTCAATGGTGTATGCTCCTAGTTATAGCCACTTCAAAGGGATAATGATGATGAATCAGGGATTTTTGGGGAGGGCTCCGAAGATTTTCAAACAACCTGCATCATGTTTTTCCGGTGTCCGGCTGCTAATCCAGCTGCGGCCCGGCCTGAACACCTTCTCGGTCAATGAGCCAGCGATCAGCCACAGGCCAATATCTGATCACCGTCCTGGACGATGGTTGAGGATGCTTGAAGGTACTCAAGCTTCACCATTCAAATCATTCAAATAGAATGATAGAATCGCAAAATCATAATATTAAACAACCACATCCCCCTTCTACTCTGGCCTGGTGCCAGGCTTCCTATAAGCAGGTCGGCCGTGAACCATTCCAATCCTTGGTGGTCACAAGAAGAGACTGCCAGGAGATACGATGCTCATCACCAGGCATGTCCCTGCATCCCGTAGGCCACAGTTGCGGTGAGGTCACTCAATGACCTAAGGAAAAATATATAGACATCTTTGTAGTAGACATGTAGACATATGTTAATCATGTTAATCAACTCTTAAAAATACTTTTCTCGCGGAAAAAGATGGTCTGAAGATAGTCCCCCCCAAGTATCTTTATAAAAAGAGAGCCATGGCGCATGTGGTACTCACCTTGGAGATCCTGATTTTCACGTTCCTGGGACGAACTGGGGTCCCAAAACACCAAAGCCCAAACACAAAAAAAAATCGT